TTCTTTGATTCAACCTCAACTGGGAGAATCCTGAATCGGGTTGGTAACATACAATAACTTATGTCTGGATGCTATGATACCCAGATACAGATACAAGGCATTGGATACAAAAGTTATGATAAAACATACAAGTATCCAACATGATAGAGCACCCATGTACAGGTATCAGGGTATCAGGATGGATGCATTTGAAGACTCCAAATGAAAAGTATATAAATGCCTTTGTTTCAGCAATTATATAACTCTGAGAGCTTTCAATGAAGCAAACTTAACAAAACGAGAACAGTTTGTCTGAGAGGTTCCTTTTCTTTCTTTTTTTAAAGAAAATATAAAAGCAACACCAAAGAATTGGAGAATCAGGTAACAGTATTCAGGCAAAAATTGGGCAAAAACAGAACTCCTATAAAAAGCAAACAAGAAAATGAAGTACAACTTCTCACACCAAGTAATCAAGTTCTATGTTGAAAATCCATAAATCAATTAGATTATCTAAACTCATTAAGTTTTGTGAGGTTGAAAAGGGATAACCAAAAAACAAAAAAGATATGCAGCTGCTAACTAGAAGATCATTAGATTTGTTCCAAAATAAACAGGGAATGGAAGAATGCCAGAAATTGGTCTTGACTTCAGCTTTTAATTCATTACTAAAACCACAATATGGAATAGACTCCGAATCACATTTTCAACACTCTGCTGCTTTGATTGAATGATGCAAACCTGTGTTAAATTTTCATTTCTTTATTGTTATTGTTAAATTCATAAACTACCAGAGGCAACAAAAAAAAGACAAAAAGATTGAAAGATTGAAAGAAAGAAATAGACAAAAAAAAAAGAAAAAGACAAATTTTAAGTTCCCAGCAACCCAAAAGACCAAAGATAAAAAACATCAAACAAACAACCAGTGAGCCTGGAATTCAAAAAATAAAACATACACAATTAACAACCAACAACAAAGTCACCTAAAAAAGGAGCTTCCCCCACACAAAGCCCTAAATACACATAACCAAAACCACATCCCCACCTCCCAAACTCCTATGCACTTCTTTCTTAACAGCTCTACCTCATAAGAACCTCCCCCTCCCCGTGCTAACTCTACCTACCACGCCTGCCCTTCACTTGTTCAACTATAAATATTCTTCACTCTTTTGAAATGAAGAAATRAATGAAGTTTCAAAGATCTTATTAAATCTTGAATTCCAAAATGCACCCACATCTAGGAGTGATTCCTAAACCTCTAGAGTGATTTTTGAGAAACCCTATACACACTCCAGGACTATCTCCATTTCCTTTTGTTCTCTCTTGATTTTCTATTTCAACCTTTGAAATTTGAAAGCCATCAGGCATCAACAGACTAGAAGTAGCAACCAATTTACTCATTGAGTACCAGTACATTGATTTATAGTAAGATTTTAATTCTTCTCATACAAAGCCATAGTATCTTGTTGCTTCGTCTTAGAGAGACAAAAAAATTCCCCTAGAAACTGCACCTCATAAAAACCCTAGTTTCAGGTGGTAAACTCCCACCGAACCTTTTAGCTTCCTTAAATTTGACCCCCAATACTCATCTTGAGTCACTTTGAAGAATTCCTCCTATTTCTATAGTTCTAGAAGTTCGACTTTCTTTCTCTAAAAATTTCTGCATAACAAAGAAATTGACCCTATTTTTTCTTCTAAATCAGTCCATTAAACCTCTAACCTAAACTAGCATCTATTACTCTTCCCTAACCTAGTGCACTTTCCCAACCCAAACACCCTCTTTTCATCAGGTTTCCATTGAAAGTTTCTTACATGTTACAGTAACCCACCCATGTCACACTTGTACAACAAAATTCTCCCAACCATCCTTAGACACCACTTCCTCCATTCCACCAACCCCTCCCTCTAATAACAGAAAGACCATCCCTAAACTTATCCCCTGAACTCTAACAGTTGGAACAGATAGCAAGTCTGCCTATGAAGAAAATGAGGTAGCAACCACAATGATGCATATGAATGTGTGGTGTGGCATATGGTTCAGAGACTTAGAAGATRGATAACATGAGAATCAAGAAGTTCCAGGTACTAAATAATTTTGTATATATTAATTGCAGGYATCYGAAGACCAAAKTGTGCTTGACAWRGAAATGGCAGGCAGATTAGGTTGGTGTGTTTTCACATKTATACAGGTTCTAGGGACTATTATCGTCATGTCACAGGTAGCATGGCAAGTATTTGTAATCTTCATTCCAGTGACTGCAATCTGCATATGGTACCAAGTAAGACACTTCAACTGTCATAGTTTTACCCCTATAGTTTTATTTATAAGGGCACCTTTACAATTTAGGTTTGTAGGTCAACATCAATAGTACACAACATGAATCTAAATATATGTGATCACTGCAGCAATACTATACATCAACTGCAAGAGAATTGACCCGGTTAACAGGGATTCAAACAGCTCCAATTCTCCACCATTTTGTAGAGTCACTTTCTGGAGCTGCAGCAATCCGTGCCTTCAACCAAGAAAACCGCTTTACTGAGACAAATCTCATCCTCATTGACAATTACTCAAGGCCATGGTTTCATAACATGTCAGCAACAGAGTGGATTTCTTTCAGATTGAACATACTGTCCAATTTTGTGTTTGCATTCTCGGTGGTTTTTCTTGTGAGCCTCCCTCATGGGATTATTAACCCAAGTGAGAATCATGAGCATGCATTTTCATAAGATGCTTATCAGCAGGTAGACCGTAAAGATGGACCACAAATGGCACACCAGTGGACATCACAAATATGTAGGGCTTTCAGATTCATCCATCACTTGTCCCCCAAAAAAATCTCSTGCATAAAGAATAAACAATTAGATGTGTGTAATCAACTAATAAAAAATATTGTTACAGTATATTTCCTAGGTTGGATCCAACATATGGTTGGTGCCAGTCACTCACTCACTTGCAGGCAAGATTCAAAGTATCAATATGATAAACCCCATATCAGGCRTATCGTATTGTATCTTTAGGTTTCCAATACACCTATTTAAACGTGTTTTTAGGAAACCAAAKTTTTTATTGTTTAAACAATATAAAAATATGTACAAAGCTGAAATTTTGAAAAAAAAATCTAAAAAACAATAAAAAGCATGCGGAAATAAGTATCAATACACCCCTGCCGGTGTGCCATTTGTATTAACAACCTACATCCTTATGGTCTCCCCAGTAAAGATATTTAATTTTCCATTCTGCATATAACTAAGAGCAGATCTTTTTACATGAGAAGATCTACAAGGAGCTTATTTGGAATTCTATATCTTTACAGGAATTGCAGGATTGGCAGTAACGTATGGTTTGAATCTTAACACACAGCTAGCCAATATGGTGTCCACAATATGCAATGCAGGAAATAAAATGATCTCAGTAGAAAGAATTCTACAATATTCAAACATTGCTAGCGAAGCCCCCTTGGTAGTTGAAGATTATAAGCCACCAAATAACTGGCCACATGTTGGAAAAATTTGCATCATTAATTTGCAGGTAAGACCTCTAACATGTAATCTTCTGTAATAACCAAACCAAACATAATTGGCTGAGCATTCATGAGGCATCTTATTGGATGTATGAAAAAAATCCATCTCAACACATGAGAGCATACCCTCTCATCTCACTCAACAAGAGGGAGAGTGAGGGAGAGACTTCAAGTACCTCTCTCAAGGAGATGAATGTTATTGAACTCCAAATTCCACAAGGAGATGAATACCAGACCACAGAAAATTCATTCATGGATAAGTTGTAAAGGCAAGGTTGACCACCGATTACAACACAACTTTTTTCATAAATAGGGCACTCCCTTTTAATTAACAGAAAAAATAAGTGCAACAACACCTTGGTCAAATAAAGCATGATAACCTTACAGGGGTGTTATTATCTTTCACTACCTTCAGCTAGGAGTGCTCCTTTCATCAGAAATAGGGGGTGCTCCAACAACAGGCTAAAAGAAACATGATTAAATAGTGGATCATGATTCATTGGGTACATCAAGATGGAAGTAGGATGTATTCCCATATCAATCATTGGTTTATTGCCATCTTGACAAATGCTCCCCTTGATAGTTGGTACAGAATTCCTCAATAATTGTCCAAGTTCATGTTACTTGTACATAATTTCATGTTAGTTGTATATGACAGCCTAATTTCATGTTAGTTGTACACAATTTCTAATCTTTATATAAGCAAACATCTCAGATTTACTTACAATTTATTTCTTGTCATAGATCCGATATGCAGAGCATCTTCCATCTGTCTTAAAAAATATTAGCTGCACAATTCCAGGAGGGAAAAAGGTCGGTGTTGTGGGACGAACAGGCAGCGGGAAATCAACTCTAATACAGGCGATATTCCGTATTGTGGAACCCAGAGAGGGAAGTATTGAAATTGATGATATAAACATCTGCAAGATTGGCCTTCATGACCTGAGATCCAGACTTAGCATCATTCCACAGGACCCAACAATGTTTGAGGGGACAGTAAGAGGAAACATGGACCCACTAGAGCAATATTCTGACAGTGAAATATGGGAGGTGGTTACTTCTGTCTAACAAGTTCTAGATTAAAAGATGCAAAATACAACTCAATTCCATTATGTGGGTTTCGGATTGGGGTGTATATGATTCCCATAATTATGTTGGCCCTGGCATGAGTTGCTAAGGATATGATTTACAAGATACTCTTTAGAGACTTGTCGGGTAGCAGAGGTATTTATGGGTAAATGCATGTTAGTTTTCCCATGGCTTGTCAGGTTGAAAAGTTGAAATATCTGCTTCCACTTGACAAATCATCATATACACCCTATRTGGAACTTATTTTTGATCCATCACCTTATAGGACACATTTTAGTTTCTCTTCATGGAATACCTCAGGTAGGATGGAAGGTACATAGAATCTTCCTTGCTCTACCCTCCTGTGTGTGTTGCACACACCCAAATGGAACCCATTATTCATTTGTCCCATCAAGCATGTCTTTTARGTCRAAAGTTGACTCAGTTAGTTATCTACATTATTACTTTTTTTGCTAGAAGCYTCATCTCATTGTTTGACTTTCAAAAAGAATTGAACAACTGAAGCTCAGGATCAACAATTGAGTTGAGCCTCAGAGAAAAAAAATTTCCTTGGTCAAACTTGCTGATGCTAGTTCCAGGCCCCTTTGGATGTAAGCCACATGCAATGAAAATGTGTTTCTTCCATCCTAAACCGTCAGACATTAGTATTGCTCTTACATRTGCACTTCCTGTCATTATAAAATAACATTAAACTTACACTGGCTAGAATCCAAAGCGCAAAAAGCTCTTATGATCTTCATTGAGAATTTCAACTGAAGAAGTTATCATATTTGATTATTTTCAGGCTATGGATAAATGTCAACTTGGTGACTTGGTGCGTGCAAGGGAAGAAAAGTTGGATTCAACAGGTGAGCTTAACCAATATGAACTGAAATCCACAGTGAAGCGTTTTGGATTCTCATATTTGAATTGCTTGCATGGCTAATACAGTGGTTGAGAATGGAGAAAACTGGAGTCTGGGCCAGAGGCAACTATTCTGTCTTGGAAGAGCCTTATTAAAGA